GCATGCGATGAACACGTTAGAAAACCGGTGTGATTTGTTAGAAGACGTCGCGAAAGCCAGCTGACTTCATGTTAAAGCGGGAAATTGCGAAGCGACTGGTCGTCTCATGCATTTTCGGGGCGGTCGATTTTGAAATCTTCACGAACCAAGTTTTTGGAGGATTCCGGCATGGGCGCGCGACGACGCGCGCGCGCTCACGTCGCCCAGTTTTTCGCTATGGATCCTCCACAACTGGCGCGTGCAATAATCGAGCGCGCGCGCATAATATTACTGACGCTGATGAGGGGGGAGACGACGCCGGCTTGGCTGCGATGATATGATTTCAACTTTGCAACGAACGATGGGGCAGAAACGTTTGCAAAGTACAATATCCCAGGCCCGGCTCATAAACTGGGACGGGGGTCCTAAATCTTCCCATATAGAACCCGCGTGGTGCAATACGTGTAGCGCGCGCTACGTGGCGCAGTCTTGGTCGAGCAACCTATGCGGCGCAATCTGCGCGGCGCAATGTACGCGGCGCAATACACCCAATCGGATCTGGACTCGCCAACTGCACTGTCGCGCAAACACCCCACTCGCCCACCCGCAACTTGGTCTTCAAACCCATGCAGCGGCGATTGCGATGTCTGCCTGGCGCTGGCGGGCCCATCGCTGCGGCCGCGCCGGCCGTCGGGCTCGCGCTCAGAGCGGCCGACGCGGCCGCGGAGGCGCTGACTGCTGGGCGCGCCCCGCCGCGTCTCGCAGGCCAAGCTCGCGCGAGGCCGCATCGGCGCGAGTCGGCGACTCGGGCGGGCGAGGCGTCACGGCGCCGTCGGCGACGGCAGACGCGGTGGAGATAGTAGCGAAAAGATTGACAATGATGACAATGACGACGGCAAGGCCAATGACGGCGCTGATGCTGACCACGCCGCCGACGACGATGGCGCCCTCGCGTCGGAGATTAAGGCCATGGAAGACTTTCGACGCGCGCGCGGCCAGCGCGCGCGAGTGCGATCGCGCCCCCCCCCCCCCCCCCCCCCCCAGCACGCGCGCAAGGGAGATCGAAAGATTCCGACGCGCGCGCGAGGGGCACGTTTGGTCGCATCCGACGACAGCGCTGACATCGTGGCTTCGAAAAACATTCGCAAGAGCGCGAAGCAGACTTTTTGAATATTCCTGTTGCGAAACCGTTTCGATGATCCTCAGAACGCGCGTTAGCGCCAGCGTACGTTTGCCCACTAAGGCCCTTCACTAGGACGAAGCCGATGCGATAATCAACTGGATGGGTTGGGCGGGGTAAACACATTGGGCTACCGCGCGCCCCGAGGATCACCGGCCGTCAGATTTCTACGTGCGCTCGGGGCACTCAATTTCGACATCCGGACGAAGCCGATGGTTGTTGAAGGGTTTTGGCGCGCGCGACACGACGCGCGCGCTTGCTCGTCGCCTTTGCGGCAAGGGGATATGGCGCGCGCGAGGGCGTTCGAATGAGTTCGAATTTCGCGCGCGAGGGGCACGTTTGGCGTGTGGTCGCAAGTCATGAGCACGTTAAAACCCTCATGGTGTTGCGTTGAATTCGCAGGAGCGCGAGCGCATGCTTTTCGAAACACTCCCGTTGCGAAACCATTGTTTCTCTGTGGTTTGACGACGCTCGATGTCGAAATCCACGCAGCGCAAACGGTTTCTGCGAGATTTCAGCGCGCGCGACGACGCGCGCGCGCACTTCGTCAAATTGTCTGCTGAGTGTCCTTGAAGGGGAAAATAAATTCGAAGATGAAGAAGTGCGCGCGCATCGCATTTGCCCCAAAGGATGAGGGGGGCGATGCTGGTTTGACTGGGAGCATGTGAGTTCACGCTTCAAATGAACAGTGGTGCATAATCGTATGCAGACGGCACATCCCCAGAGGGGGGCGTATAAGTCCGGCCTGGGAAAGGTGGTGGATCCGAATTTACAGGGTGCTATATACGTGGCGTGCGCGATGAAATCGATGGTGCGCAATATCTGCGGCGCCATCTTCGCGGCGCAGTCTGCGCGGCGCGCCATCCACGCGGCGCGATCGACGCGGCGCAAGATGAGTTGTGCAATCCAGGTTGCACACAACCTACGCGGCGCAATCAAGGCGGCGCAAGTCACCCCGTCGGACTTGAAGTCGCCAACTCCATCCCTCGCACAATCGCCTCACCCGCTCACCCGCAATTCGGTTTGCCGAAACCATGCGGCGGCGATTGCGATGGCTGCTCGGCGCCGGCCGGCACGTCGCTGCGGCCGCGCTAGCTCGCGCAGGCTCGCGCGCAGAGCGGCCAGCCAGTCCGGCCCGAGCGGTGGCGCAGACCGCCGGGCGCCCCCAAAGCATCTCGCAGGCCGCGCGGGCGCGCAGGCACTGCAGTGCGAGTAGGTGGCTCGGGCAGGCGCCGCGCCGCGGCGACGTCGACGACGGCGGACGCGACGATGGCGGTAGCGATGCTGGCGACGACGATGGCAATCGCGACGGCAAGGGCAACGACGGCGCCGACGCGGAGCGCCTACGGCGATCCTCGCGTCCTCGCGTCGGCGATGAAGGTTGCGACAGAGGACTTCGACGCGCGATTTCTCACGCATTGACAAAAGCGCCCGCGCGCGCCATTGTGAGGCAATCTGCAGACCTGTACCTTCTACATGTTATCGGGGAAGTCGAATTTGGAACCGGCGCGAAACCTGGGGTTTCTGAAGAATCAAGTTTTGCGAAGGATGTCGGCATGCAAGAGCGACGGCGCGCGCGTGCGCATCGTCATTGCTGCGAAGGGCTCCTGCGACAGCACGCGCAGGGGCGTTCGAATGAGTTCGACATTCGCGCGCGAGAGGGGCGCTTGGCCGCTTCTGGTGAATACGTTGAATCGCCTACGACTTTGGAAGAATTTGCCAGAGAGCGAGCGACGACTTCATGAAAATGCACGTTGCGAAGCGGATGGTCATGAACGCATGCTCGGGACACTTGATGTTGCAATCCGCGTGCAACCTTAGGGTTTTGAAAGAATTCCGCATTCGAGCGCGACGCCGCGCGCGTGTGGACTTCGACCCATATGTTGCAAAGGGTTTTTGCTAACTGATGGTCTTCGAGAAACGAGTGCGCACACATAGTACTTCCTGCAAAACGGATGGGAGGGGGTCGATCAGCGTCTGCCTGGGATGGGCGATGGGCGATGGAGGCATAATCATGCGTCACTTGAAAGACAGCAGACGACCCGGGGAGATCCGAATACCCTGTGGAAGAAAAAACTATCTAGCCTGCTCCGCGCGCGACCCGCCCCCCTGCTCGCGCAAGCATCCCACCCGCGCACAACTTGGCAGCAAAACGCACGCGGCGGCGATTGCGATCGCTGCGTGGCGCTGGCTGGCATATCGCTGCGGCCGCGCTAACGGGCGCAGGCTCGCGCGCACAGCGGCCAGACAGTCTGGCGCAGCCAGCGCGGCGGCGGTGGCGCTGATCGCCAGGGATGTCCCAGCGCGTCTTGCACGCTGCGCTGACGCTCGGGCACGACAGCGCGAGGCGGTGCCTCAAGCGGACGCGGCATCAGGGCGACGCCGACAATGGCAGGCACACTGGTGGTAATAGCGATGCAAGTGAAGATGGTGACAAAGCCGAACGCAAGGCCAAGGACGGCACCGATGCTGATCACGGCAATGACGGTGATGGTGTTACGTGTCGGTGGTAAGGATCTTGGCAAATGTTCAACATGCGCGCGCGGCTAACGCGCGCGAGTGGCCTGCATGGTATGGTTTGTGAAGGATCGTGCCCCCCCAGCACACGCGCGAGGGCGTTCGACTGATTCCGTCATGCTCGCGTCAGAAAAAACATATGGTCGCATCTGAATAACGTGTTGAAGATAGACGGCGCAAGAGCGCGCGCGCAGACTGATTTGAAAACCCCTGCTGCAAAGCACTTGTTTCCATATGTGTTCGCGGCACTAGTTTTCGAAATCTGCCAGAAACCACGAGGTTGTTTAAATCATTGTGACCTGCGCGCGACGACGCACGCGTGTACACTTCGCCCCACGTGTTGCAATAGATTTTTCAATAATAACAAAGTTTGGTAACCGATTGTGCGCGCATGGTGTTGCGTGACAGAGATGACGGGGGGGGCGACATCGGCTGGGCTGATATGCTACGATGTCATGCGGAAAGTGGGGGCGATGAGGCAAAATCAGATGCACAACGTGCATATCGCGAGCATGAGGGGTTAAGTCTGGCCTCGTGTTTCCCTCTTAAGCCGGAGAATCCATGCGGTGCAATATACGTTGTGCAAGCGAAGCGGCGACGGGGCGGCGACGAGGCGGCGACGGCGGCAACATAGCCGCCAGGCCGACAGACAGGCCCAGACGACGGGCGGCGACGAGGCGGCGACGGCGGCAACATAGCCGCCAGGCCGACAGACAGGCCCAGACGACGGGCGGCGACAAGGAGGCGACGGGGCGGCGATGGCGGCAAAATAGCCGCCAGACCGACAGATAGGCCCATTTCCTTACAGGGGAAATAAGAAGCCATAAAGACACGTACTTTGGGGGGATTATCCGCCTCTGCCTCCTCCTCCTCCTCTACCTCCCGATACTTCCCATCCTCCCCTCTTCTATGCCCTCATCCCCATGATCCTCCTCCCTTTCTTCATCCTCTTCATCGTCCTCCCCCTTCCTCCTCCTCCTCGTCATCATCCTACTCCTCGTCATCACCACCATCATCACCATCATCACTATCACCAGTAGCATCATCATCATCATCATCATCATCATCATCATCATCATCATCATCATCATCATCATCATCATCATCATCATCATCCGTATTTCCCTCCTCCCCGTCCTCCTCCCCGTCCTCCTCATCCTCATCCATCTTCGTCCTCCTCCCTGTTCGCTCCTCCTTCTCCTCCTCCTTCTGAAACGACGGCGGCGACTACGCTAACGATGACGACGACGACAACGACGACGACGACGACGACGACGGCGACGACAAACGGCGACGACGGGCGCGAGGGTGGGTGCCGCCGCGCCTTGGTCTTCGGGTGCGAGGCCTCCCAGGCCAGCCTCAGGCTGTGCTGGTTCGGCTGGGCAACGTCGAACGACGAGTGCGGGGCCTCGAACGAAGAGGCAGCGTCGTCCGCCACCTGGGGCGTCTCGGGCCAGGGGGTGCGTCGCCTGCCCACCTCAACGATCCTGCCCAGGACCCCCTCCTGGGCCCAGGATCGGCGTGTGCGGTTTGCATACAGTGTGTCCCCTGTTGCCAATCCGCCAGAGCAGTCACCGTCTGCCCAGCCGCCGACGCGAAAAGTGAATGTGTGTGTGTGTTGTAAGTGTGCGTGTGTAAATGTGTATATGTAAATGTGTGTGCGTGTGCGTGTGCGTGTGGGTGAGTGCGTGTGTGTGCGTGTGTGTGTGTGCGTGTGTGTTCGTGTTTGTGTTTTTGTGCTTGTGTGTGTTTGTTTGCGCGCGTGCCTGCGTGCGTGCGTGCGTGCGTGCGTGTGTAAATGTGTGAATGTGAGAATGTGTGAATGTGTGAATGTGTGAATGTCTGAATGTGTGAATGCGTGAATGTGTGAATGGGTGTGGTGTGTGTGCATGTGTGTGTGCGTGTGTGCGTGTGTGCGTGTGTGCGTGCGTGCGTGTGTGTGTGTGTGCGTGTGTAAGTGTGTGTAACTAAGTAAGTGTGTAAGAGTGTAAGTGTGTAAATGTGTAAGTGTGTAAGTGTATAAGTGTGTGTGTATGTGTGTGAGCGTGTGCGTGTGTGTGAGTGTTTGTGTTTTTGTGCTTGTGTGTGTTTGTTTGCGCGCGTGCCTGCGTGCGTGCGTGCGTGCGTGCGTGTGTAAATGTGTGAATGTGAGAATGTGTGAATGTGTGAATGTGTGAATGTCTGAATGTGTGAATGCGTGAATGTGTGAATGGGTGTGGTGTGTGTGCATGTGTGTGTGCGTGTGTGCGTGTGTGCGTGTGTGCGTGCGTGCGTGTGTGTGTGTGTGCGTGTGTAAGTGTGTGTAACTAAGTAAGTGTGTAAGAGTGTAAGTGTGTAAATGTGTAAGTGTGTAAGTGTATAAGTGTGTGTGTGTATGTGTGTGAGCGTGTGCGTGTGTGTGAGTGTGTGTGTGTGCGCCGTCCTGGCGTGGCCAGGGAAGCGTGTCCACCGACCCTGGGCCCAGGATCGTCCCGACCGGAATCGGTGAGGCAGACAATCTGGCATGCAGTCAACGAGTCCTGAAGGAAACGGTTCCTGGATCCCGGGGCTCTTCCGCAAGACAAGGTTCTCATCATCCTGGGGCCAGGAGTTTCACGAGTTGAGGGCGCCTTAGCGCCTTAGCGCCGCGCACACTCGTTCTGAAATAGGAAATGCCACAATATTGAGGCGGGTCGTTTTCAGAATGTAGCTCTCGCCTTTGCGCCGCGCACAGTTGGTTCAACATTGCGCAAGGGTTTCACCGATTGAAGGCGGCTTCTTTTCAAGCTGTTGCTCTCGCCTTAGCGCCGCACACATTCGTCTTACAGCATTGCAAGCATTTCGCGGCTTCTCATGGCAACCTTTCAGAAGTGGTGTTGCTGGAACGATTCTGGAATGTCAGGGCCCAACAGTTACATTGTTTCGCGGAGTCGAAGTCCCTGGAACGGTGTTGTGGCTCGATGCAGGACCGTCAAGACGCAACAGTCAGGTTGACCCGTGGCGTTGAAATCCTGAGAATGGTGGTTTGGCACGTGTCAAGATTTTCACACGGTTGTCTCCCAGCGGGGCACTTCTCTCAAATGAACCCTTGTAGAGGCCTACGGAGAGGGAGCTTGGGGGGAGGGTGGATTCCAACACAGTTGATGAGTCTTGGGTTTGCACTGGTCCTCCTCATACTCCTCCTGCTCCTCCTCCTCCTCCTCCTCCTCCTCTTTTTCCTGGTCCTCCTCCTCCTGGTCCTCCCCCTCCTTCTCCTCCCCCTCCTGCCCGTCCTCCTCCTCCTCCTCCTCCTCCTCTTCCTCCTCCTCCACATCCCTCATCCTCCTCCTCCTTCTCCTCCTCCTCATCATCCTGCTCCTCCTCGTCCTCCTCCTTCTCCCCCTGTCCTCCTTGCTCATCTCCCTCATCCTCCTGGTCGTCGCCCTCCTCCAACATCGCTGCGTTTTGCCCCCAGCTGGCCACCGCCTCGCCTCTCCCCAGCGCCCGGGGCCAGGCCGCTCGGGCCCTCGCCAGGTGCTCCTGGCCGCGCGCTGCGCGCACCCGCAGGGAGAAAGCCAAAAGGAAACGATGGGGGACGACGGGGGAGGACGAGACGGAGGTGGGGAAGGGGGAGGACAGATGAGTGGGGAGGAGGGGGAGAGGAGGAGGAGGAGGAGGAGGAGGAGGAGGAGGCGAGGACCACGACAACGACGACGACGACGACGACGACGACGACGACGACGACGACGACGACGACGACGACGGCGATCACCGAGAGAGCTGTGTACAGCGACCCCGCCCATTCCCCCCTGAGGCGCTGGCAACCCCGCAGAGACGGGCAGGGTGTAGAAATGCGCCCGCGCCAGAGGGCAGATGTGCCCTGCGAGGTCGCTGGCGGCAACAGGGGGAGCGCTCGAGCCTCGAAGATCGAGGTTCCAGGACCGCGGCTGCTCGTCCTCTCTGGGCCTCCTGACGCCTCCGACGGGCCATCCATTGACCTCCACAGGCCTCCGCGGACCTCTTGCGGCCTCCGTAGGTCTCGAAGACCTCCTCCTCCTTCTCCTCCCTCCTCCTCCTTCTCCTCCTCCTCCTCCTCCTCCTCCTCCTCCTCCTCCTCCTCCTCCTCCTCCTCCTCCTCCTCCCCCCCCTCCTCCTCCTCCTCCTCGGGGCGGATGAGGGCTCAGCGAGGCCCAGGGCACCCTGGAGGCAAGCAGGAGCTGCCTCTTGGCACGGACCTCCACTGCACCGTTGCACCACCGACGCCCCCTGGAAGCGGAAGAGGAAGAGGAGGAGGAGGAGGAGGAGGAGGAGGAGGAGGAGGAGGAGGCCCAGGGCACCCTGGAGGCAAGCAGGAGCTGTCTCTTAGCACGGATCTCCACGTCTACCTCTGCGCCACCGGCGCCCCCCCCTTCGCCAGGCCGCCCGGCTTCGCGCCTCACGCCCCCCCCCCCCCCGATGCGCGGCACGCGCGGCTGCCTTCAGGTCGGGTATGTCCCCCTATACGGGGATTTTGGGCAAAAAATGAAAAATACCTCAAAAAGATTCAAACATAGCCAAAAACACTAGAGAAACAAATCGTCCCCGGACTATTTTCTTGACTAATCTTGACGATGCTCCCCCTGCAGAGGGACAGGCCCGACGTCAGGCTGCCCCTTCGCGCCCTGGCGCCCGCCGCCCCCAGGAGGCGGGCGCCGGTCTGCGGCGCCACAGGCCGCAAAGCGCGGCCCGGCGTGCGCTCCTCCCTCCGCGCCCTCGGGCGGGGGGGTGGCCCGAGGAGCCGCGCCCGTCGGCGGCGAGCGGAGTGGGGGGAGGCGAGAAGGAGAGTGCGAGGTGGGGATTCATCCATATCCACCGCCTGGGAACCGACATCCTGGGGCCCCAGCGGGCGGTGGATATGGATATGTTTCGGCCCCCGGGGGCCCGAATATGTCCATATCCACCGCCTGCCGAGGCTCCGACAAACTGACCCTCCAGGCGGTGGTCATGTATGAATTCCCGCCTCGGAGAGAAGGCCTTCTGCAGGGCTAATTTTTTCGAGGACGTGCAAACATGGACTAGCGATCCCTGGATGTGGCGCGCGGTCGCCAAGTCCAAAGACTCGAGGGAGGTGCCCCCCAAGATGCGGCCGGTGGCGCCTCGTTCGGCGGCGGCAATCAGCGATTTCCTATGGAAACGGGGCCCGCGAGGGGGGGGGGAAGCGAGAAGGAGAAGGAAGGGGCCCAGGGACACGCAAATGAACAGACACAACTCCCAAGATCCCAAATCTATTTCCCATATTTTCTGGGTTCTCGTCTTCCCCACGACTTCCTATCTTTTCCCACATTTTCTCATGGGATCCGACGATGAATTGTGTCTGTGTGTTTCTGTCCCTCCTGAGAGAAGGCATTCTCAGAAGGCGGCGGGGCTTCTTCTTGTTTCCCCCCAAGAGAGAACACCTGATGATGCAAATTGCTGGTCTCCTAACTGATGGGACGACGACTTCCCCAAGCAAGCCCAGAGAAGGTGGTCGGGGCCCCTGTCTCCCAAGCAGTGCACAGTGGCGAAGAGACCCAAACAGCCAGAACGCACAGAGACAGAACAGAGGCGGCGGGGCTTCTCGGAAGCCCTCCAGGAGAAGTGCTCTGTGTCCTCGCGGAAGTCCTGAGACACTTCTCCGAAGGTCGGGGGACGTCCGAGCCTTCTGAGAAGGCCCGCCCCCTCCCACTTTTAGGTCGGGCATGTCCCCCTACAGGCGGATTTTGGGCGAAAAATTCAAAGTACTCAAAGAATGCACCCAAATAATCAAAACATAATCAAAAAATAGTCCCCAGACTATTTTTGTCCTAATTTTGGATGTTCCTCCTGTAAAGGGACAGGCCCGACTTAATCCCACTTCCCCCCCTGGGCTCGCCGCCGAGCCAGGGGTGACGGGCTCAGGGGGGGGGGGGAGGCATCGACCTGGAATAAGCGGTGCCTCGCCAGTAGATCGGCGGCAGGCCCTCGGCAGCGCATCCACACGCTCCTGGGCGGGAGGGGCCGTCGGGCCCTTCCTGGCGATCTCTGGGCGATTGGGGGTCGATGGGTTCCCCCCTGAAGCTGTCCCCCCCTTAAGTTTGTCCCTGATGACCCGCATCCTTTTCCCCCAGGGCAGGGGGCAGAATTACCACCCTCAGAAGAAACACCCCGACAAGCGAAGCCCTTTAGCAAGGAAAGGAGCCAGCAGCCAAGGCAGGGCTGCCTGGCAAACGCCCACAATCGTTAGGAAACTCCCATTCTGGGGGTCGAAGTGCTCGTTCCATCCCGTGACAAAGGCCACTGCCGTCGCCCTCCCCGCTCGGCTTCGCCCCCCGGCCGCCAGCGACGGCGGCGGCCTCGGCGGCCTCGGCGGCCTCGGCCCCGCGGGAGGACGACGACGACGACGACGACCACGACGACGACGACGACGACGACGACGACGACGACGACGACGACGACGGCGACGACGGCGACGGCGACGGCGACGGCGACGGCGACGGCGACGGCGACGGCGACGGCGACGGCGACGGCGACGCGGCTCTGGGGCCCCGGCGGGGTCCTCGTCGCCCAGGGCGGCGGGAGGGTCCTGCCGCGCCAGCACGCGGCGGACCTGCGGGGCGAAGACGGCGAAGGCCTGCGCGGGGGAAGCCGCGGAGGCGCAGAGGGCGTCATGTGCACCGCCACCGTGCCAGGCCCCGGGGCCCGTCCTGGGCCTGGGCACGATGCATGCGCCCCCCTGGCCGAGGCGCCCCCCTGGCCGAGGCGGGGGGGGGCCCAGGGGCCCAGGATGGCCGCGGCCAGGCATGGGAGGGGTGTAGACGCCTCCTGCAGACACAAACCCGCCCCCCCCCCAACGCAGCTCCTGAGTGCTGCCCTCGGACCTCGAATGAGGAAGGGGCGAGGCCTTTGGACCTTTCCGGCCAGCTTCTGTACCCGTTCGGCTGTGTTTGCGACCCAGGGGCCTGCGTGGGCCTCTGACAACCTCTGGGCACCTGCAGGGATCGTCGTCGTCGCCGAGGTTCCAGGTTCGAGCTTCGAGACACGAGCTCTGGGGGAGTCGTTCACCCGCCATTTTCAAACCTGGTCAGGCTTCCAGAGACCCCCCCTCTCCCGGAGGCATCCACAGACCTTATAGGGACTCCCCAGAGGCATCAGGGGACCTCCCGAGAGCCCTCGAGACAGATCCCTCGCTTGCTCTCCACCCGACACCACGGCGTCCCACGTCGTGGTAGTATCGCGTACTGCCCCGGGTTCTCCTGTCGCGCGGCGCGGTGTCAACTGCGCGGTCGTAGCATCTCGGCTTCTTGTACTTGTGGTCGCGTGTTGCACGAGGGCGTGGTCGTGGCCGTGGCCGCCACCGCCGCCGATTTCGTCGAATTGAGAAGGTGTGGCTCGCGAAGGGAGTCAAGGGGGGTCACCACCCGATGGTGCGTATTCTGGAAACCCTTCGGGGGGAACCAAGACTAGGGGGAAAGGAGGAAACCGCAGGTCAGGCCCAACTGGGAGTACGGGTGGGACGAGATACTCTCTTGCTCCCCCGAGCACACACGGCCAGCCAACAAGACAAAATCCGTACCCATCAGCCCTCGACGTCGGCCTAGCGAGCGAATCGCGATGCTGACAGAGCACTCCTCCTCTCGCCTCTGGCACAGGGCTGCCTGGTCAGCGAAGGCGCCCAAGTCCCTGGCCCGCTGCAACAAAAAAAAACGCCCGATCGCCACCTCTGCTCTGACCACTACTTGCCCAGACGGCGGCCTTCGGGACCCATGGGTACCAACTAGAGGCCTCATCGATGGGGTCCGAGAAGGTGAAGTCGGAGGATCGCGCCGCATCGCCGATGCATCGGCGACGTCGGCGGTGTATCGGCGCAGCCGGCGTGGGGACAATCGGGCACAGCAGAGAACCACATCGACGACGCATTGGCGGTGCGGCGTGATCCTCCCACCCCATCTGCTCGGACCCCCTTCTGGTAGGCCTAGGCCAAGGGCGTTCATCCATGAGAGCCCAGAATCGAATCGATAAGTCGGATCGGCGATCGAAATGAATCGGATCGGCGGAAATCGGCAGCCAAGTCGGGCGAAGTCGAATCGGCAGACTTTCGGCAGGCCAGTACGCCTCCAATGAGGACTCGGAGCCCAGATCGGAATCCAAGTCGAATCGAATCGGAATCGGAAGCCACCGAAATCGGATCGGATCGAACCGGAGGAATCGAAGCGAGCCCTGCTCTGGTAGGCATAGGCTTAGGTCGGGCATGTTCCCCTACAGGCGGATTCTGGACGAACAATTAGAAATAGTCCAGCTATGTTTAAATATAGACAACAAATACGCGAAAAATCGTCCCCGGACTATTTCTGGACTAGTTGTGCACACTCCTCCTGCAGAGGGACGTGCCCGACGTAGGCCTGGGCCAACGGCACTCGCCTCTCTCTCGTGGGGGCGGTGCGCACTCCCGGTGGCTGCCGCCCGGAGCTTCCCGCCGGCGGAGGCGCCGTCGCTCGGCTCCCGCCGGGCCCGCGCCGCGGGCGAGAGGTCGGCCCCTCGATGCCTCGAACGGGACGCACAGGGACATTATGATGCCATATATCCGCCTTGGAGGCGCGCGTCCGACCCGAACATGTAGGATACCCATCTTGTGGTACATCGTTTCGCGAGCGGTGCGGCCAGAAAGCGCCCGCCACGACGCACATACTATAAGATTTCTCGGTGCGCGAGTCTCCTCTGGGGGGGGGCGACGCACATATAGTATAAGTGTGTTGGAGTGACGCCGACCGAAGGCGATGCCACTTCTGGAGGGCCCCAGATTTAAGTCGGGCACGTCCCTCTGCAGGAGGAATGTTCAAAAACAGTTTAAGGAAATAGTCCAGGGACGATT